GAGCCAAAGTTATTTTTGAAAATGTCCGGCTCCGTAGTGTCCTGAACCCACGACCTTTCAATCCGCAGGCGAGCGTATAATCGCTACACCACGGTGGCTTCCTGTTAATAGCTACCACCTGCCAATACCAAATCAATAATTTATTAACTTTAAGAAAACATTTAGGGATTTTAAATCGTAAGAGATAAAACAGCATGAACTGACAAGTCAGCAACAATTATTGGTCAGGACGACACACATTGTTCTCAATGCTGTAAACAACCAGAACTAGATAACTTACTGCTGTTTTCTGTTTTGTGTAGTACAGGTTGATATTCATAAATACGGAAACTTCCAGACATCCAGAAGTGACTCTTTTGTGAAACTGAAATTGACAACATGCACAATCCTGTCAAGAAAAATCACAAAACACTAATTGAAAAACAAATGAAATATTAATGTTCACCTATTAAATAGAACAGTCCTACAGAACTTTAGTATAACTTAATAAACTAGTTCAGGAGCACTGTTTTTTTTTTCACTCGCTGGAACAGTGTGTAATTAAGTGCGCTCCGAAATTCATGCCAGAAGTCAAAAGCAACCAGGTAATCAATGGCCGGGTTTTTAAATGTCAACATGCATTTTATTTAAAAGAACGTTATTGTTTTGGGGCAAAACATTGCTATGTTTAACGAGAAGTTGTTTAACACAACACACACTTTGACTGGAAAGCTCAGAGAAGGGAATGAGCCATAGCGCAATAATACAGTCGAACGTTTCTTTGTCTATACATGTTGATGTTTGGTCTAACAAGTTTGATTGTATTAGGCGGCTCTTTAACCCCCCCCCCCCCATCCCTCAATTACTATTTTTGTGGTTGTTGTTGTTGTTGCTGCTGTTGCTTTTATTATTATTATAATTGTAGGCTATTCCAGAAAGAAAAGGATGAAAAGAGTAACAGTTTGCATCTATAAGGTGCATCAATACCTTTATCTATATACATAAATATGACGTTACTGTTTGTGTTAGATGGCATCTATGTTAAGTTTTCTAGAAATACTTTTGGGTTGCGATAAATTACATTTTAATATCACCACCATGTTTGTCAAGCACAGCTTATATATTTAACTACTTTTCCAACGCGACGTGTTATATATTATTTATTCATTGGTAAAAAATGAATATAAACATTTGTGATCAAATATAAGTCTGTGTCTCCAGGGACGTTAAACGTCTTCGTTTCGTTTCTTTTTTTTTCAACTGGCCAACATGCTTCGATTTAAAAACTAAGACACTGTTCTACACGCAACTCATTCGTACCTTATCCCATTTTATGTTACTGCGAATATCAAAGTTCTAAAATACAAGAAGAAACAAAAGTTGGAGAATCGTGAAATTCTTGCAATCGACAAAAAAGGATGATCGAGCGATCACTTTGTCTTTTTGTGGATACTACTAAAAGGTTTGCCACCTTAAGATTTCAAATACAGCAATCTGGATGGCAGTAAACAAGGCAGATCCAAGGTACCTAGTTCAATCTCCACAGAAGATACAATTGGCAGATGTGCAGATATTTAATTGATTTTTAGTCAAAATTATGAGTCAGGTCTATAACCACAAAAAGCTTTTATACCCGCCACACAAGTCGATCCCTAGTTTTGAAAAGATTCTTTAGGTTTGAAAACTCGAATTGTTTTACTGTTACTTAAGGTAATCGTGAAATGTGTTAACTGGTAGATAAGGGCGGGTGTAACAATCTCCAACATGTGAAGAAAATAAATAATCATTTAGACTTTCTGGTTAGTTGCGTATCCTTTACAGGACGTCGCAGAAGCAAGCCCAGCAGCCCCTGGCTGTTGTTTGGTTTCTCTAAGTAAATTTACGTCTAGAAGTTTGCCATTGCTTTCTACCACTGTCGAAACCAACGCAAGGCGCACGGCCCGCAGCTGGGATCGAACCCGGCACCCTGTCATTACGAAGCGTGATCATCGACTTAGCCACAGAGCCGACTGATTTGAACCTACAGACACTTATGTTGTTTTATTGATTGATATCATTGCCAAGGGTTTTATTCCTTATGGTTTGGCCTCTTTCCGAGCAGCTGCTACTTACCGTAAAGAGTGTTGCACAAGTCATTCAATCAATGAACATCTTTGAAACATTGTTATTTCTCGAACCGAAGAACGGAGTCTAAAATCAAACCCACAAACGTCAGAGTAAGAGGCAAACGGCTTGCCCTCTTGACCACGATGACATCTCTCTCCCATCCGACCCGTTCATTTGAAGATATTCGTTCACAGTAGACTAAACTCACCTGTGGAATTCTGAGAATTTTCTTCTAGGTGCATTTTAATGATTTTTTTTTTTTTATTTGTCACTTAACGATATGCCAAAGGCACATATGTGAAAATCTTCTCCGTAAAGGTCAAAATGAAGTATTGCCTTTTGTGAAGTTACACAACTTTCATTTTTCACTCAATGTTCAAACATGATTTTCTCAAATCAAGGATTTAGCGCCTTGGCAAGCTTGATGAAGTGCTAACGTATTATTAGGACTTAACCAACGATACCTTGACCGATATATTTGAATACATGTACATACACTCCAGCACCTGAAATATTGCGATGAAGATTGCATTTACGCTTTATTTCATTCCCTCTTTCCTATTCACTATTTTAATAAAGTGTACTGGCTTAAAATTGTCACTGGCAATTCGAAATGGCAATATTATCTTCACAACTCTCAGACATTATAAAGTAGTTGAAATTCAGTCAGTTTACCTTTATGCCATTATGTGCTCTGTTGTAAAGAATTACAATGTCTTTTATTCTATTACTGAAAAAAAAAATTGAATGTGTCCTCGGTTATTTCTTTGTTAACATTTACAGCTACATACTTCTGCATGGAAAATACTGAACGCAAAATTGCCTTGTAAAGTCATAAACACTGAGGGGGGATAAATTGACTGGATTAGTTTTGCAATGTCCTGTAAAGGGTTATGCAACTTACTCTTGTTACACGAAGTTCCAGCTTCTTCTTCTTCTTCTGCCTTTCTAACCCCAGTGAAGAATAAGACTTCAACCAACGCACGCCAAGTAGTTCTTTACTTCGCCATGTCCTCCTTATTCTTTTAACTTCACACTGTGCTTTTTTGGTTTTCCTATATTTTTACTCCCCCGTGGGTTCCAGTGCAAAGACATTTGCAGCTTTTATACACTAAAATCTAGCACGAATTACAAGGGACAGAAATTTTAAAACAGCCGGAGGGTAATAGATGAATAATAAATACAAATGCATCCCTGCTAGAACCAACATTTTGTTCGTGTTCTTTAAGTGTTTGTTTAGATTGAGTGTGTGTTTTAAAAAGGTTTGCCAGTATAAACTGTACAACTTCAATGTACTTTAGAACATACTTCTTATCTCAGTGTGTTCCTTGTGCACATTACCACGACGAGGTGAATATATTCGCCTAAACCTGGGAGGTTCCGCCATCACAAGTAACCCCCTACCCAATTTAGGAAGTTGTGAAGGGGAAAAGGGGGGATGGTTGGTGAGCCGAAACCTTTTCCTAATTTGAGTTTTTGTTTGTTTGGGGGTGGGTGAGCCCATGTTCTGCTTCTTCTTCTTTTATCCGAAGATGAACGTATTTGCGTTGTGTCTGTTTACAGCATGGCTTTGATAACAGCACCTTTCGACAAATACATACGACTTATGTGGGTATTTGTTGACCATGTGAGCCTTCCCGGTTGATATTATGTCTAATAACTGTTGTTAATAGTGCTTTTCAGACATTTATCTAAAATCTTGGCTATTCCATAGTTCCTTCCCTTTTAATTTCAATCAGTTTCTGCAGACATTTACGTTCAAACGCATTTAACTTCGAATGTATCTTGGGTGGTGTGTCAGAACTATACTGTAGAAGACAAAATTCCTAGTCATGTATTAAGGAATATTTCTGACAATATTACGAAACTGTCATAAATTAGAATATTTGATTTATTTGAAGACAGTGGAACATACTCAGACTGTAGAGAGAGGAAGTCTAGATAACCGCAGGTTTTGGCATGTGAAGATGATGCATGATGTTGGAGATGATATGATCTTTAGAAGTAAGATCACCATGGCAAGTTAGAAAGAGGCTGAAGATTATGTCGACAATTACCACATTCTAAGTAATAATCGCACGTACTTCATGTTTAAAAAAAAAAAAACTTTTAATTTTCGGTGTTGGAATTCGTTCCGAGCTTGTTTAGACTTTATATATGTATTCACACACACACACATATATATATATATATATATATATATATATATATATATATATATATATATATGACAGAGCACTTATGGGTTACTACCCTTGTGCAATGGTGGTGATCTGTTGTTTGAACGTAAACCTAAACCTGTATACAAAAGAACGATTGGACATGAAATAACGGTAATCTGCTAACTAATAAATAGCTCATTACATGCCGTCTGCTGAGGGGAAAAGTTAGTTTCAACACCCTTGTTCTGCATTCTCTGAGACTGCTGTTCATTTTTCGACTGTTGCTACTTTTTCATTCGTATTGCTGGTTACCTATACTTACCTGTCTTTTTAATTAAGTAAAACAATTATAAGGGTAACGTGCTTTAGGAGGCTTAAGGCAACCAGGAGAAAGACCGTAGAAAGGGAAATTGAGAAATGCTAAATGACACATCAGATACCGTAGGTAGAGATGCATCAGACCGGCAGCAAATGAGAACATTTGTTAGTGCCTTATATACCAACAAGGACATGAAGAGGATATAGGTAGTCTTCTAAAGTGACCAAAAAATGTCACTTGTCTCATTGTTTTTTTTTTTTTTTTAAAGGGCAGCTCTTTTCATTCCTTATCTTCTCGGCTATTTTCACTTGTTTTATAAAAGCTGTTTTTATTTCCATGACACCTAATATAGTAAGTGTACTTACTATTATTCAAAATGGTTTTCGTTTAACTGATCAGGTACCACCTGCCGCAGACCAGACCCCGTGCCTAACATGATCGTTGAGGAACTCTACAAGGGTGGCGTTCTGAAGTTCACCTGTGGAGCTGGCCTGATCCGAACTGGTCCTGAGACACTCATGTGTGACGGCACTAAGTGGAATGACCAACCTCCTAAATGCATAGGTAATTCTAATTAAGCTGCGAGAGCATGTGTAATTTATTGCAAAATGAAATACATTTCTAACCCATTTCTTCTTCATCCGCAGAAGC